ATCGAGATTAATTACAGAAGTTTGTTTTTGTTTTGGATTCCGGTAATTGTTTGTTTTCAGATTTTTGTGTGAAATTTTCTCTTTTATGTCGCAAAATGTGGATCATGATGATTAATAATTGTAAAATTGTTTTCGAATTCAATCAATCGTTCCTAATGTTAATTTAATTAAGATTGCTTCACTTACATGAACTGTGTTCACCAATGCTCACTCAACTGCTAGAGTTAACTAAAGAATAGTAATTCTTTGAATAATTCCAGGTTCAATTACTTTATGTGGATTTGGTTATTACACATAATTAATGAATGACATGTATGTTACATGCTAAGAATAGAAAATGAAAACCAAATATAGATTCAATATTTTGAAATAAACGTTTTTTATCTGCTTATTTTTTATTTTAAATATTTTCAATAACTAGACCTCTTTTCATATTCTGCAGGACATGGGTTTGACTACGCCCTTATCTCTGTACCCTTCAGCTCATAGATAATTCCTTTGCTTCTAATGTGGGACTATAATTATCAGCTAGTTCTTCTGATCCTAGAGACCCAGACGAGGTTATCTATTTTTGTATTATTTAACAGTACCTTCAAAGACAAAAGAATGAAAGAAACAAAATTTGTAAAGTCGCTTTATATTACTACGGTTATATTACGTGATAACTTCAGTAGCAGAACTATTCGAACTGCTAGCTCTGATATCACGCGAGAAGAGAGATTATCACGTCAAAACATTTTTTTAAGCTATTGCATAGTTTTGTCGAGGGCTTTGAGCGCGGCGACCGAATCAAGAAATTCCGTAACGAAAATAAAACCTAACACCCCCACTCCACCTACCATGTAGCCCGCGTTCAGCACATTCACACGTTGCGCTTGTGTAGTATTTGTGAATAAGCGCGCGGCGTGATGTCGCACTGCATGCACATCATGAAAAGTCTGCCCATCTCTCTCTCGCGCGGTCTAGCTTATGAGTGTTATTTTATTATTAATTATTATTGCCTAATTATAATTGCATTAGTTGATAAAAATGCTATGCAATAGCTTTATCGCGGCTTTCAACTTTTCCGATACTGCACTTCACAGTATGTGTGTGAATTCATAAACATAAACTTTACATTTACTTTAAGCTGGTAATTTCCTTTTAAATTATACTTAGAAAATCAACATCATATTATGGAAACAAAGAATCTTATACACTCACATCCACATTCAGAAACCCCGTTTACTCAGAGAGAACTCAGTGAAGTGAAGTCACCTCGCTTCATAGGAAGGAACGTATCGGTGATTCAGTACATAACCCTTCACGGATCATTTACTTTCGCTTTTGTATCAATCTATACGAATGAGTTTCGTGTGACAATTCAAATCGCTCGTAATGAGACTCATTTCAATCCAAATGAGACTTCGATCATTAATCCCATCGAAAATCCCTATGGCTGATGTGACGTTTGCATATTTAACATTATGTCCAAATGCACCTTTTTTTCCTATTTGCTGGTAACCTAAGGGGTTATGCCAGCGTAATCAAGCGAGTAGGTGAGCCACAGAAATTTCTGTGAGGTGAGCACACGGGGCTCTAACCTGACGACGTTGCTAACACTAACCCTAGCAAGAGCAGTGCTTCGCCAAATCTACCACCGGATCGGAAACGCGACCCACTGAGAAGAACCCGCGAGAAACTCAACGGGCTGTGTCTGAAGGTGAAATGCACCAATAACACAAGGATAGATGGTTAAAAGATCTATTAAGCTACATTGTCTAAAAAAGTAGCAACTCCCAAACTTGTACGAGTTAATGTAGTATCTATTCAGTCACGAAAGTTTAAAAAAAAACCGACATCTATTATTAAATCTAAACATATTACACAATGGCATTTCGTGTTTTTATTGAATTTCATTTTGTTACATTTTATTAAGTTTTTTTATATTTATTCGTAGAGTTTTTATAACGGTTATCGATTCAACGACACGCGTCCCATTCTACGAACAGCTATTGTGTGATGAGTTTTTTTTTAATCCTTGAATTTTTTTTAAATCAGTCATTGTCGGAATACAATTTTTTTGTTAAAAAAAAAAACAATAGATGGGTACAGAGTCGCGAAAAAATTAGCATGCGTTACGATTGTTAAACTAATATGTAGTATGTTTTGTAAAATTACTATTGTAATTCATAAAGAACTCGTGATAACACAAGTCTAGGACAACAAAGAATAATTTCTAAAGACTTTAACATTTTAATTACCACGTGTCAGATACTTTTCGTGGTAGTAAATAATATACTGAGGTTTTTTAACTAAACAAACTAGAGGGAGATTTTTTTTTATTGCTTAGCTGGGTGGACGAGCTCACAGCCCACCTGGTGTTAAATGGTTACTGGAGCCCATAGACATCCACAACGTAAATGCGCCACCCACTTTGAGATATAATTTCTAAGGTCTCAGGTATAGTTTGCGCCACCCACCTTGAGATATAAGTTCTAAGGTCTCAGGTATAGTTACAACGGCTGCCCCGCCCTTCAAACCGAAACGCATTACTACTTCACGGCAGAAATAGGCAAGGTGGTGGTACCACCCGCGCGGACTCACAAGAGGTCCTACCACCAGTAATTACGCAAATTATAATTTTTGCGGGTTAGATTCAGTATTTTCTTCGATTTTCACGAGTCGTAGGCCTAATTAAAGCCAATTTCACACTTTAATCTGAAGTTTGTTGTCAATATATTAAATCAGACATTTCGAATAGTTTATAGTTTTCTTTTTCGCCTACGACTAAGGTGTTTGTTATTCGTCGAATAAATTCAAATGTCTGCCAAATTCCAGATGTAACCGTAAAAGAAATATGCAAATGGAGTTTATTAGGGGCGTCCAGTTATTCTTTAAGTTCAGTTCTAGTTCATAATACAGTTGTACGGCCGACGGGTGGTCAGTTTCCACGGGACGACGTGATCGTAGTGTATTTTGTTCCTTTCACGGACGAGCTCTCAGCCCACCTCATGTAAAATAGTTACCCAAGCGCATAGATATAACAATGTGAATATCACCATCCACTTTACTGAAACATGAGGCTATGACCCATAAAATATAAAAATCAGTAAATTATGAGAATCAACTTTTTTCTATATAATCTTCGGTAAATTATTGCTTTTTTTTATTACGACGAATTGTTATTAATTCGACTAAATGGTAATTTTATTAAAAGCGGGTAATACCGAAAGAAGTTGCGTTTGTCATGGCGGGCTAACGTCGAGTCATTCATTCTCTTGTTGACAGCGCTCGCACGTGATGGTCAATCTTAATCACTAATTATTATTCTAATCCCTGTATGTTTAAGTAATTTAACCGTCTGCATAATTAAAATAGTGAAATGTCAACACTACAGTCTACATATTTCAACGTTTCCTTAAGTTCGGCGCCCACTATGGACTCCTGGGCTGACGAGAATCATAAACCATATGCGACAGGCCGGCGCCGCTTGGCCTTGATAATATTTATAAAACTATTTAAAATTGGAATTGCATGAGTGCGTCCCGGGTAACCGTATTCGTCGAACTCGGCAAAGAAATCAACGTGCAACCTAACCTAAACATCAGCCCGTTGAGTTTCTAGCAGGATCTTCTCAGCGGGTCGCGATTCCGATCCGGTAGTAGATTCGTTCTCGAACTCTTGAATTGTTAGGTCTCCCTTGAATGCGCTCGGGTGGTTCACGAAGTCAATCGGGAACATTTGATAAGTACGTATTTCATTAGAAAAATTGGTACCCGCCTATTGTCCGTATTTCATTAGAAAAATTGGGATCCGAACACCGTTGCAACAGATACGAATGCATCGGACGTCTCATGCTTTAGGCCACGACGACTTCAACTGAAATCTGTGAAATCAGAAAGCCATCCGAGCCACAAGTAAGCCCTCAATCATAAAAAAATGAGTGCCTCGCGGTAGAAAAACGTAGAATAGAAGTTCAAATTATCTTCCACCAGGAATCGCACAATCTTATTATCTTTGCGAGCACGTGTATGAATAGCCGCCCAGTCGCATCGCTTGATACGAGTGCACGGCGAACTTCGGCCTTATTTTATCCTTTTTTTTAGGAGGAAAGGATTACAGGTGGCCCGGGTTTCCCGCGACAAGACAGCGACAAGCGAGCGAGCACGGGCTCACCCAGAAGGAACTCGAAACATCAGACGACGACGACTTTTCATAGTTCGCAACACAAGACCACGCCCACTTTATATCGTCTAGACTTAACGCCTAATCACTTTATCTGGGCAAATCTTAAACATCTGACATCGTCCGATCGAGAATCATAAAATATATGTGTAGATTACGACTAACAGTCACCAATCGCGCGAATTGGTTCGCTTATTTGAATTAATTGCCTGTGACGTGCTTAAAAGGAGAAAGACCTCAAACGCATAGAGAATTGTGTTCATTCTTGGCAGGGTTTTTTTTTCTTAGTTGGGTGGACGAGCTCACAGGTGTTAAGTGGTTACTGGAGCCCATAGACTTCTGCGACGTAAATACGCCACCCACCTCGAGATATAAATTCTAAGGTGTCAGTATAGTTACAACGGCTGCCGTACCCTTCAAACCGAAACGCATTACTGCTTCACGGCAGAAATAGGCAGAGTGGTGGTACCTACCCGTGCGTATTCACAAGAGGTCCTACCACCAGTAAAAAAGCGTGGTAACCCTAACATCATGGCTGGAAACAGGCTATCACTGTACACTTCAGGCGCTATCGATTCGCCTATCCACTTTATCGGCGTTCCACCGGTTACATTGTCATGTCATCATAGGCGTCACTTAGCGGTAGGCAGCGGCTTGGCTCTGTTATGGCATTTCTGAAATCCATGGGCGACGGTAACCACTCACCGTCAGGTGGGCCGTAAGCTCCTCTGCCTACAAGGGCAATAAAAAAATACTCATAATTATAAACTATTTTCTTTTTCTAAAATTACACTTAAGCTACACGAAACCTAAATAAATAAATAAAAACTCACCGTCTTGTCCAGCAGCCAGCTTCCAGGGAATATCAGGGGCACGTACGTGATCATGTACACCATTGAGGTCCAAGACACGACGGCGCTACTGACGCCGTAATAAGACAGTACCGTGTCCTCGATTATCGCGTACTGCGTCCATTGGAACGAATTCGAAGCTGAATACAATACGAACAATGTCAATATCAGCCACCTTATTTTGTACACGGTGTAAGTTGCTTTACTCGACTCTATTGTCAGCCCGTCCATCACACTACCGCTGATCGACTCCCTTCTAGAACTATCGTTCATCAAAAACAGCTTCGAATGAGGCTCAGATGGATTGGACAGTCCGTTTGTTAAATGTTCCTTCAACGTCATTATTTATTAATACTTACTTTGAGTCTCTATTACAATTTAAAAAAAAACACTTCACACTTTTATCTACGGTAAATTAGACCCGTTTTTTTTTAATTATTCCTACGCGTCTTCACTTATTTCACTTTAGGAGAAAAAAGTCAGCGTTCGTATTTTCAATCATTCAATTTCAATTATTCGAATTTAGAATATCCAATGATTTGAGATAGTTTTTTTTTTTGTAGAACCTTTCGAAAAATACTTCAATCCGTTTTTTTTTTATTATTTATACAAATCCGAGTAGTGTATTATTTCGCCAGTATTGACTAGTTATTTTTTTAAAGCACTCAATATATAAGTTTTTCTTTATCACATTCAATTGGTCCCGCCGTCGTTCATCTGAAACGACACACATACATATGAATATAAATTTACAATTGAGCGTAACGAAATTATCGATTCGGAGACGTGTTCAAGTGGTTATCGTTTATAATCACGATCATTAATGTTTTGGGAGCCAGATAAAGACGTTTGAAATGATAGCGGCCAGTCAACGATCCTACTATGGCTCGTTGTTAGGTGTTTTTCAGCTGAATTGCTGAATTCAAATATCGGCGTCGCTTGTAGGGCTCATAGTTATCTATATATATAAAAATTTAGTTATTCTTCTTTTCTTCTTTTCGTTATTCTCGCTAAAACTCGAGAGTGGCTAGACCGATTTGGCTAACTTTGGTCTTGAATTATTTGTAGAAGTCCAAAGAAGGTTTAAAAGGTAAATAAATATGAAAATGCTCGGAATTAAATAAAAATAACAATTTTGTTTTTCCTTTGATGTGTCCCCCGTCGGACGGATTCCTTTTGTTTGTTTTAAGTTTATTTTATACAAAAGTCTTTTATTTATCGATTGGGGCGCTACGAACTCTGCCGGGTCAGCTAGTACAATATATAATTAAGACTTATAATTGACACTTAACAAATGTCAATTTTAACTGTCCCTGACAAACTTCAGTTTCTATCCAGACGCTGCTAAATTCTAAACTAGCGCAGTACAATCAATCAATTTGAATGTTAAATACTATTATTAATACTTCCAAAGTATATTTTAAATGTATTATGCCTTTTTTCCCTACCTTATCTAGTAACCTCGAGGGGTTATTCTAGATTCACCGAACTAGTAGGTGAGCTCACGGGGCTCAAACCTGACGTCGTTGCTAACGCTAGCCATAGAGCAGTGCTTTGCAGAATCTACCGCCGGATCAATGTCATCGATAACCACTTGACAGGTGTGACACATTACACATTCTAGAGTCCACTCCAGCCGAAAAAAAAAACGTAACCATAGTACTACAAACACGTGGAGGTGACGGCATGCTATTTAATTTCAAAATGCATAATTCATTCAATTTTCAATTTGATTAAAAGGTCTCATGACTTATCATGGAAAAGTTTGCTTAACATTTATCACAACAACCTTATATCTTATCTCTAGGCACACTTTAGGTAGATGCCTACTAATTTAAAATCAAACGGAACTGTCTGAATGTCATATTTCATTATAATTTTTTATTGCTTAAGTGGGTGGACGAGCTCACGGCCCACCTGATGTTAAGTGATTACTGGAACCCATAGACACCGTACCACCGTCACCATATAAACCGAAACGCATTACTGCTTCACGGCAGAAATAGGCGGGGCGGTAGTACCTACCCGTGCGGATTCACAAGAGGTACTACTACCACCAGTAATCACGCAAATTATTATTTTGCTGGTCTGATTTTTATTACACGATGTTATTCCTTCACAGTGGGGAAGTGAATCGTGAATACGTACTTAGTATTTCATTAGAAAAATTGGTACTCGCTTGCGGGATTCGAACACCGGTGCATCGCTAGATACGAATGCACCGGACGTCTTAACCTTTAGGCCGAGACGACTTCAGGTGATATTTCATTTGCTTCAGTTACGAAACGAAAGATGATTTTAAGAAAAAAAAAATACTTTGAATATGATCCTAATTCTAGCAACGCGTCGAAATATCGGGACATAGTTTAAACAAAAAAATTGGTAAGAATACGAATGTTATTAAAATTTTAAATCTGCCCAACGACAATAATTTCGGCTGTGCCTGCTCTACGACCCACTACTATCTGTAAAATATTACGTCTACCGTATCTTGTTACACAATCTATAATAATATAAGTCGTTTCAACATGTAATCCCCAATTAAGGTAGATTATCACTTGTTCTTTTGATAAAACGTTAAACACTTTCGGCGAATAATCGCTGATAAACCTATCTCACAGACTTAAGGCAGACGCCTCACTAAAAAAGCATTGCTGTGAGGCATAATTCTCGTACGCTTCGGATATGTTTCTCGATTACATGACCTTCGACCTACAATCTTACTGGTGGTAAATCGGCACGGATAGGTACCGCCACCCCGCCTATTTCTGCCGTGAAGCAGTAATGCGTTTCTGTTTGAAGGGTGGGGCAGCCGTTGTAACTATACTGAGACCTTAGAGTTTATATCTTTTTTTTTATTGTTTAGATGGATGGACGAGCTCGCAGCCCCCCTGATGTTAAGTGGTTACTGGAGCCCATAGACATCTACAACGTAAATGCGCCACCCACCTCGAGATATAAGTTCTAAGGTCTCAGTATAGTTACAACGGCTACCCCACCCTTCGAACCGAAACGCATTACTGCTTCACGGCGGAAATAAGCGGGGTGGTGGTACCTACCCGTGCGGGCTCCCAAGAGGTCCTACCACCAGTGATTACGCAAATCTCAAGGTGGATGACGCATTTACGTTGTAGATGTCTATGGGCTCCAGTAACCACTTAACACCAGGTGGGCTGGGAGCTCGTCCACACATCTAAGCAATAAAATTAAAAATAATGAGCGAACATTAGTAAATACGACTAATGCTCATAATCATAATTACTGCTTTACTAAGTTATTTTAGATTCCGTTGAAAGCATTACGTAAACAAAACACGATTCTAATGTGAAGTAAGCTGGTAGAAACCAGATAAATCGAGGCTAGGTAAGGCGAGGTGAGGCGCGATAAAAAAATCCGTCAGTTTCCTTAAAAAACTCAAAAACTTTGGGAATCCTCCATGTATCAAAGATATCCTCCATGTATCAAAGTGGGTCGCACCTGGAATACCTCTGTAACTGACGACACAGTGATTTAGATGTGGCAACAGTACTAATTGCACCAGTTAATCTTTCACTTCAAAATCATTTTGATACGAGATGTACCCAATTGCGAGTTATTATTTTTCTTTTCATATTTGAAATAATAATCACAGCGTCTTCTGGATTCACTGAATAAAGATGGCCCATCTATTGTGATATTACAAATAAGCTGAAGTAGTGTAGATACTATTTAATGAAGAAAGGCTATTTTTCACATTTGCTATTAGGAACAATAAATAACTTCTATTCTTGCCTGTATTACCTGTAGCGTAACGTATATTACAATGGTCACACGACGATATAAATAACACTACGATCGATAACCATCAAATCAAATATATTTACAGAAGCAATCACCTCAATTAGTTACTATTACTTAATATTAATGGCTTTGAAAAGTACCGGTATTTTTTTCGTTCGTATTACAAAAAGCGATACAACCAACTTATTTTGTCTACTGCCTACTTTGAGAATAAATTATTTTTTAGCGCTCACCTACTTAAAAGGTAGGTGATTAAGAATCCTCCTAGATGAAATTACAGATCGCTTCCCAAGCCTCTACACAACGCACCCTTTTTTCTGCGTCCCTTACTGTCCCTCTTTAGGCCTGCAGCGTCAACAAGGGGGCGTAATCGCCCACTTTGGGAAAGGCTGCTTTAAGGGCAATAGAAATTATTATTATTTCTACAAAAAACACGTCATGCAGTAAAAACGTTACATTTCGAGCACTCGACCGAAGAATAAACATAACCTCACTATTTGACATTCCTTTTTGCTTGGACAACGACATTTCACAGTGATTACAATAAAACGAAGGATGTTCCACTAATGAATCGGAAACGATCACGAGATTAGCTCATCATGACAGCATGTGAATTATTTATAAACCGACATAACGAAATACGATAATATGAATTCGGCAGTCAAAAACAAAAGGACCCACAACGTGAATAAATTTCACATAAACCATTCATCTTGTTTATCGAAATGAATGGTCTGATTTGTATAGAAACAATGTATTAACTTAAAAATGGATGAGTATCTTATCTCGCTACGACGACAGAAGTTCGAGATATGACAATAAAATCACTTTTTAACCGACTTAAAAAAATCGGACGGCTCTTAAATCTATTATATTTTTCATAGGCTACCTCAAAACTTCCATGATTCTTATTTGAAAGCTGGTTTCTCGTGTAGTCCCTTTTAAATTTTATCAAGATCCGATCAGTACTCTTTAAGTAGATTTATTTTTATGACGTAGATTGGTGGAAAGCTCACAGCCCACCTGGTCTTAAGTGGTTACCGGAGCCCATAGATATTATATCTACAACGTAAATATCGCCACCCACCTTGAGATATGAGTTCTAAGGTCTCAGTATAGTTACAGCTCATTTATACCTCAACTATAGCTATGTATTTTAACTATTAAATAAATAAATGAAATATATATTATTATTTACTTGATTCAACAGTAATAGAACATTAACAGTCCTAAAAAGGTCCGTATGCAAACAAAATCGTTAGCTTACCACACGACGTGACAACAAAATAACACGATAAGTACGCCACTAACACAATGTGACTTAGAATCTTCTAGAATCTAGATTGATATCTATCATTTAGACCACAGATGTCCACTGCTGGAACGTGATACGTGAAATATGTATGTGATTATGAAACGGGATTACCTATTATTTTGTCATGTTCAACAAATATGACAGAATCAAGTGTTGATGAAGATTAACGTATAGTCACAAAGAAAAGTTGAACTATTAATTTAAATTTAGATACAAATTTTCGAACGGTTTTAAAACATATCCGCTGCAGGCAATATTTTTTGTTTTTTTATTGCCCTTGTAGGCAGACGAGCATCCGTCCCACCTGATGGTGAGTGGTTACCGTCGCCCATGGACTTCAGCAATGCCAGGGGGAGAGCCAAGCCGCTGCCTACCGAAATATTTGTTTTTTGAGCCACTCGATA